GCTCGCTGAATCTTGAGTTCTCTTAGATCTGTTAAGGTCATTATCTTGGGTCCTGATTAAAATGGCAATAAATTCAAGGTTTGGCCATTCTTCTGGGATGTCATTTTGTTTGTTATTTGGCATTTTTGTTTCAATGTAGTGTGAGCTGGAACTGAGTGATGGTTCCAAAAAGACTATTAGGAGTGCTTTAAAATCTGTGCACAGTCCAGAAGTTATTAATTGGAAATACAACTGGAGAAGGAGACAGTGGCTAATATTACTGTGTTAGTATTATTTATGAAACATATAAAAGGATGAGAGAAAATGGTTTTATACCAGCAAATTAACTCTCATTCAAGAGGCTACAGTATCTTGTCAAGGAAACTTCTTTATATTTTTAGCAAAGTTTCTAGTGATAAAGAATTGCTAATGCTGTTGATAACGTAGGAGTATTATTGCTAGTAATTTAACAAAGTGCTTTGGCTACAAATGATAATATCTGAGTGGTGACTCTGGACACTAATAATTAGTAACTTGGTGTTTTCTGTTTTGGGAGAATTGCTGTAGAATGATGTATTAAAGGCCAGCTGTACTTCCTATTCCTGACGTGCCTAATACGTATTTGCTGCCTTTTTCTTTCTGTCCTCTTTAATATTTCCTTTTTCATTCTTTGGAGGCTTTGAAAAGTGTTTATCACTTTAAAGCTGTTCAGAGTACTGGCAGTGTTTCCGTCGTGTTCCCTGCTATGAAACAGAAGGGGAAGGGAGCACATTCTTACTGGTTTTCATTTAAAAGAGAGAAGTTGCAATGCTCTTTAAATAGTGGTTATTGGTAGCTTTAAAGCATGGTAGGAGTCCTGTGCTAAGGATCAGAAGTATTACTGGCTCATGAGAAATCTTCTTTTTAAACCTTTTTTGTGGTGTAAGTTTCTCTGCATCTTTAGTTTATAATTATAGAAGAAGAAAATACGTAATGAAGAAATCTGCAACGTCTAATTGTTGAAATATTTATAGTTGTTATGTAATAAGAAAAAATATGAATTGAAAAAGGCAAGAAAAAGTGAAATTGGAGTGGAGTCTGGTGATATTATTTATTCCATGTCTACAGTGTGCTGTTAACTTTTCATAGAAACAGAATAGATAGTTTCTGTTCAGAACAGTTTGTTTCAGGGTGGAAAAAGGGATTTTAGCCAAGGATCTTTATGCTTTCATGCAGAGATTTATAAACTGGCAAGAGAACTTGTTCGCTCAATGAAAATTTCTCACAGAATTGATCCAGTTTACAAGCTTCTGAAAATCATTGTTTTCACATAGCAGATTTTTTTAGAAGTTTTTGGCCAAAATATGAGCAGATTGCATTTTTACTGATAGAAATGTATGACTTTAGCACCATACTGTTGTTCAGCAACTTCTGATAGCAAGGAGCATTGTGATTCTGGGCACTGGATCAGAAAGAAGTAAAACTGCATTTGTTCCTGTCATTGGCACCATATCCACGTAGAGGAAGAAACATTCTGATCTGCAGCATGCAGAGATGTGCAGGAAATTTCAGGGAGAAGCCTGTGAAGTACTGGGGATAGGGAATGCAAGCTCAAAGATACAAAAGCTGACAAATGGAATATTGTGTGTAGGGTGCAGGGGCAGAGCAAGGGGTGAGCCCAAGGAGGGACAAAAATTAAGAAAAGGAGAGGAACAAATGTGCAAGGGAAGATGTAGCTAGAGCAGTCTAATCACAAAATAGCCCATGTTTTAAAACAGAAGGTCCTTTAAATCCTCAGCTATTCAGTGGGTACCACTAGAACCCATAGAAACCCTATATCCCTTAATGTTGTGGTTTTTGAATGCTAAAGCATCCTTGAGCTTAAAATAGTAAACAGTAGTGCATGAGGTGAAAATGAGCTGTGGTTGCACAGATACAAATATTTAATACAGCAGCATGCATTTAAGAATTGTTTTAATCTACCATTTCACAAAAGAGGATCAAAATTTGGAACAGATTGCCCAGGTACCTACCAGCTGTCAGCCTTGGAGATCAGTGGAACTTAACTGGGCTGAGCAACATCAAAGAACTCTGAAGTTGGCCTTGAGCAGGAACCACAGGTCTTCCTGAGACCTCTTCCAGCTTGGCTTGTGTCTTAACACTTGCTTAATTAAAGAACTTTCAGCTATCCTTTTTCTTTGAAAGAATTTAAGAGCAGGGAAAAAATATATTGATACTTCCTACCATTTTTCCAAACCCTAAAGGTGCAAACCAGGGACTTGGTGGGGTGGATATTGTTCCATGAATGATCTTCTAGGAAATTCTCATAAGTTTACCAGCTTTCCCTTTAAATGCACATTAAATTTTAGCATCCAGAATTCCTTTTAACAACAGTTTCAGAAGGTCAATCACAATGTGCCTTGTCTGCATCATTTTGGAATATATTAGCTGATTTGACATATTAGTGACAAGTGCTAATGTAACACTTAAATTTTATGAAACAAAGTGAGATAAAAATGGAAAAAATTATTATCCAAGTCCATCACCAGAAAGTGTCATATTGGACAAATACCCAAGAATACAAGTCTTAAAATAAAAACCAAGAAAAAAAGCAACATGATACCTAATCAGAGCTTGAAAAGCGAGGGGAAAAAATGCCCAAACTAACCTTGAAGTCAGTAGGGGAACCAGTGTGTTCATTGCTGAAATTATTTCCTGTGATTATGAAACATGTTTTCTAAGTAATAATTAAACTGAGAACACCTAATGAAAAGCCAAGGACCAGAATTTACTTGTGAATAAGAATCTCTGTGATTATGCTGACTACAGCCTCATTTCAGCCTGCATCCATCAGTGCTGTTCACTTTGTGCTAAAAGTGAAAAAAAATTGGAGTGGAAAAAACCCATTTTAGCCTTTCCACTGAACACACATAGTGATTAAATATTGAAAAGCCATGCAAATATTCCTGGCTGCTGAAGTTATACCTGCAGTCTTTTGTAAGCAATGCTGCTTAAACTTTGCCTAATATTTTGGTAATTGAACATGCTTATGTTCCACACGAACTGTTAGTCTGGACATAGTAAATATTTATGTGTTCTCTTGTTTGAACACTTGCAAAGAGAAGTAAATGAGTTGTGTTTCAACCATTACATTCTCACCAATAGTGTTCTCATCAGCTGACCAATTTATTTGATGTTAAATGCTGTAAAATAACTTGTATTGTCTGTATAAAGACTAAAATCTTGTGCTTAATTTGTTTGTGACATGGCAGAAGCACTTGTATGCTGGAACACTCTCCTCATTTTCTGTTACAGATCTAATCATAAGAGACCATATGAAATATATATTTTAGGACAGCTCTCTGTGATTTTCTTGACTAGTTTGTCATTCTACAATTATGCCTCTGTAAACACATTTAAATAAGTGTATTTGGCACATTTCAAATATGGAAAAATATTTTTACGCCCTTTAGTTAGAAACAAATCTGATGATTTACAGTGTAATTTTAAAATCCAAACAGAGGAATAATTGGTGCTTTTTCATTAGAGTTTAACTAATTTATTCAGCACAATGAGGGTTCTTAACATACTCTGATAGGTTCTAAGATTACTTACAGATAAAACTACCAGGTTTTGGATATAGCTTTTCTTTTTTCCTAAGGACAAAAAAGATTTGTTGAATTCCCTTATTTTTACCATTGAATGACTTAGTTAAGCATAAAAGTTTTGCATGTCAGACAGCTTTGGGTGATTTTTAGGTTGTTCTCCACAGTTAATTTTTCTAAGTAAAAATAAGGGATGCTACATTTTGTAGTGGTAATTTTTTATGATAAATCATTTAGTGTTGTCATCTGCAGATGATATTTTTGCTAACTTTGTGTAGTTTACCACTCAGTTGGTTTAAATGTTGGATTTTGTATTTTTGTTTCTCATGTGAAGATTTAAAATGTACATGATAATTAGGAATTTGTGATAGCAAGGTAACTGTAAAAAGCTCACTAACACTGTAGAACAGCACTGTGTGCTGTAAGGTATTTGAGACCTATTGCTCATTTTTCAGCCAGTGCTGTTGAGTTTTATGTTGAGAATACGGGGATTGCTGGTAATTTGCTCCTGAAGTTACACACTGGTGTACAGCATTCACTCAGGGGCTGGGCTTTTGTTTCTGACAGAAAGCTGATCATCACACTGGGCAAAAAGCAGAAAAGGAAAAACGAATCTTCAGATGAATTGTCTGATGCTAAGCAGACTCCACAGCGGCCCCTGAAAGATGAAGACTCGCAGGTAGGTAGTTGGCATTCCTTGATAGATTTCTGTGTGTTGTGTCCAGATGTTTTTTGCCCTGTCTCCAGAAAGTTACAGTTCCTTGGCTGCAGTGTCAGTTACTCTCACACTTCTGTGTGTCTCATAGATGGAACTTTTCATCATCAGCCACTTCTCTCAGTTGAAAATCAGAGCGTCCTACAGGGTAGAGTCCCTTTTCCGTAATGGGACATCAGTGCCCTGCTTGTATCTGTTGCATTTCAGAACAGGAGCCCATAGATTTGAGACTGTGAGTACTTACACTGAGCTGGCAGTTAGACCTGATCCTTACTTTGGCTGAGTGTGAAAATGCAGAGATTTCCTAACAGACAGGGCATTTATCAGTGAAGTTGGCTCTTTGAGAACTTTTAAAAGGGTTGTTTCAAGCTTTAATGTGGTTTTTTTTCCCTGAGCTCTGCTTCTGTAGAAACTGGAAGAACAGATTTCTTGCAGTGTGGGATCTGAAGGCAGCAGTGATCAATATGCTGATAGGCTCTAGTTGCTTGTGGAGTGTTTCTGAAGGAAATGCCCAATGAAGAATTGAAGTGGTCAAGTCCCTCAAGGGAATGACTCTTGTAGCTTACTTTCTGCAGTTTTTTCATAGATTGCCCTGAAACAACAGTAACTTAGCTAATTATTTGTATAACTTGTGCGCAAAGAAACATGAACTGTTGAGAAGAGATTATATTCCATTTATGTTTGCATTAGTAACAGAATTACAACTTCTTGCTTTAGGGCAGTCTCCGCTAACATAAGGTTATGTGCTGGAAGTGCACAGGTTTTTATCCTGTGGCAGTTTCATCCACAGAGGCAAAATCAGTATTCACAATAAGGTGCTGTTGAGTAAAAATTAATTGCATTAGTTGATGATAGTTGTCAAAAAACAATTATGAGATACTGAATTGCCCTCTGGTGTTGCACAGATAATAATGCTGGAGGGGAAAAGGGATCAGAAGCCATTTCCCAGAATGACTGCTCATTAACTGAAGTGATAGCTTGTCCTAGGTGGAGGTTACCTGAAAGGATCTGTAACTTTTCAGTCATGTTCTGTTATCAGATAAACATGAATTTATAGGCCAACAAATGTAATATAAAAGATGGAAGATCAGTTCTTTCCTGGGAGTGTCATGAAATCACCTGCTCCTGGTGTGAAGGGAAAAGAGGGTGGAGATAATCAGGGGTGGCATGAGAGGGAAGTAACTTTTATTGCAGAATGTCACAGCATTGCCCTGCTCTCTTTGAAGGAGCTGGGGAGAAGCAGGAAAGACATAAATTGCTTTACTTCATTAATTCATTTGCTCTTTAGTTTTTGAATACGTTCATGATTTTATTTTTAAAGAGCTGTTTCTAATTTCTGTTGCAAATAGCTGCTTCAAAGCTCTGGGGGGCAATTTTAGGCCTTTTTTCCCCCTAATTCATTTTGTATGCTTAGTTTCACATCAAGTGTCTTCCTTAAATAGACGGGTTTTTTAAACTATTTTTTATTTTTAATGTGTGTTTTATTTTTAATGTGTGTTTTAATGTGCTACTTCATTTTTTGTCTTAGAGCCATTTGTTTATGGCCTTAGTTCTCAGCTCAGGGAAATACAAAAGTTTTTTTCCAAACAGCTCAGATTATGTATTAATCTGTTGGAGAACATATGTTGATGTTTTGCTAATCACTTCATACTTTAAGAAAAGACATAGTGAGAAGAATTGAAAATGCCAGTTACATAATCTTGCATTGCTCATATTACCTGGCTTTTTTTTTTTTTTTAAACCTACTTCTGTCTGCAAACTATTATTGATTTAAGTATAATGTGCCATTAGTGTGTCCTTACATTAGAAATTCCTTTTGGTGATAACACCTAACACCATACACATTATGGAAGAACAGTTAATGTACATAACTGTGGAAAGCCCATGAAGGAGCTTCATTTTTGTCGCTTCTCTGGAGGAATGGTCACAGCCCTTCTTGGACTTGTGCTGTACCCATAGGTTACTGCTCAGTTTTTGCAGTGTAGTTAAAAGTACAGCTACGACATTTACCAGATCCCAGCCAGACCAAGGCTGAATTAACAGTCAGGAAGAAAAGTTCCTGTGCTGCAATCTCACTGTTACTTAATAGCTGCTCTGCAGAAGCCATTGTGACCACAGGATTTAGGGTTTTGTCCTCTTCACAACTTGTTCTCCCAGCTGAGTACTGCAGTGTAATATAACATTACGAGCTGCAGTGGATTTTTTTGCACAAAAATACCTTTTTTTCTTTGTAGCTCAATATAATAAATTTGTTTTGTAGAGACAGTTTTGTTTTGCTGTTTTCATTTTTGTGATGATCAGTTCTCTAAAGCAGATTATAGTGTTTTCAAATGTTAGCTGGCTAGTTTGATACTGCTGTTTTTATCCACTGAATCCAATTTACAAATTAATCTTATGGTTAAATAGACAATGTCTCATGTTGGTACTGAGGGCTAGGAAATGTTATGCAATATTCTAATAATCTTAAGTATTTGAAACTGTGAGTGAGAGGGAATTATTTTCTTTGACTGAACATTATTTCTTCAGCTGGAATTTGTTGCCCTCAGATTCTTGCAGAAACCAGAATGGAAGGTTAGAGAGAGAAACTGCAAAGTAACTGTATAATGCTGTTGAACCAGCCTGATGGAGGTGGAGGAGAAAATACAGACATCAGCAAAGCAACAGGCTTTATTTGCCATCATGTCAGATTTCATCAGCAGTCTGACCAATATGATCTTGTGAAACCTTCATAATTTTTGGTACAGCACCATTTAGTAGAGACACATCAGCTCATTTTATATCTGTCCCCCTGATGGAGGGATGGTAACACTCTGCTGTTACACTGTGTTGGGAAATCACTGTTGAAATACTGATGCTGGTGGGAGATCTGTTATGTATCAGCTTTGCTCCCATACCCTGAAAAGAGTGTTTCATGTTTACTTTTGAACCCTAAAAGTAAATGTATAGTATGCTTACCTGAAGGAGAAAATAACAGTTTAATTAGTTGAACATAAGTGCATCACAGGGTTTTATTTCATGTTTGATTATAGGTACAGCTGAAGTATTGCTTAGAGTGTCCCTGAACATGCAGCTCAGGTTAGGGGAAATTTTGGGTAAAACCTCCATCTCTTTCCTTTTTCCTGTGTGGCAGAAGAGAAGATCAAATCGTCAAGTTAAAAGGAAAAAATACTCTGAAGAAGGAGAAGGGAAACAATCAGAAGAAGAAGCAGCTAAAGTTTCTGTTAAAATCAAGAAGAATTCTGCCCCTTTACCTGCTGAGCAGCCTTTACAATTATTTGTGGTAAGTAAAAATTGGCTTGGTCTCTGGGAACTTTGTATTGTCTCAGGTAGTTCAATGAATAAAGCTCCTACCTTGGAATACATTATTATTTCTAAGCTCCAGTCTAGTGTGACATTTTGCTAAGATCTTGAAAACTGAAAGAAATTATCTTTTACTATTTTTTTGTGTTCCAAACATCAGTTTACTTAATTGAAGTTAAGCATAAGATTAAGGATGAATATAGTTCAAGTAATGTTTTATGTGGCATAGGCATATGAAAAAGCTCTGTTCTGATGTTACCGTGACTTAGAGAAGCACCAAATTATTTGGGGGATTTTCTGCTTACTGAGGTATTTAAAAAGGACACTTGTCCTCTCCCCACAAGCCTTTCAGGTTTACACTTCACTGTTCCACTGGAGACTCAAACTTACTGTCGAGCCATTCAAGGTAAACAGAGTGGCAGGGAAGAAACAGGAAAAAGGAGTTTATGGCTTGAAAGAGTGCCAGGAGTTGTAGGGGAAGGAGAATGGTGATATAATTGGGAACAAATCAGATGAGAGGGAAGGTGACTGGCTATTGCAGGCAGCTTGTGCAGATCCCCTCTGTCTGTGGGGCCCCAGCCCAGCTGTGGCAGAGCCCTGCAGTCCCTCCTGTGCCTCACCTCAGCCACAGCCCCCTCCCTCTGATCCCACAGCGTGTTTGGTGCCTGTGTGCACAGTGCATGCATCAGACTGAGTTTGGCACATGCTGGGTTTCTTCTCTCTTTTTCCACCTGTCAGTTTTTCTCCAGTTTCTGAGTTCTGGCTGTGTCCAGTGCATCAGTTTAGCTCAGCAGGGCATTCCCAGTGTCTGGCAAGCAGCAGAATCCCCAGTGCTTGCACTGAGTGTGTTTGGCAGGTGAGCACTGCAGCTGATGCTGTTTGGAAATGCCAGACTAGCTGTAATTCTGCACATAACCCTTTGGGGATTTTAAATTTTACTCCCAGCCTGTTAGGGAAAGCTGCTGGTGGAGGTCAAATTTACCTTTATTGCTCATCTTCAGACAAGCCACGTGTGGTTGAAGGTTTTAAGCCTGAGAGAGAGAGAGGGCTGGTACTGCAGTTTTATAATATCACTGTTTTCATGTCTTTATAGGAAAATCCAAGTGAAGAAGATGCAGCAATTGTAGACAAAATCTTATCCTCCAGGGTAATAAAGAAAGAAGTAAGTGATTGTCACGGGATAAAATAGTTTATTTAATAAAGGGGGCATCTATCATTTTACATTTCTTCTGAATTTCCTTTTCCAGGTATCTGCAGGGATGACAGTAGACACAGAAGAGTTTTTTGTAAAATACAAGAACTAGTAAGTATTAAAGAGTTGAATGTGTTGACTGAACTGTTTTATATCATATTTATGTACTCAGGTTTTGTATTGCTTGAAGGTTATTTTGTCATCGACTGAGATTTTTCTTTACCAATTTAATCTTTAAATTTCTAAAAATCTGTAGTATGGTAGTGATAATATTAAAACTATGAAGATTTTGGAACCAGCACTGTCCAATAAGCTAGCAGCCTTTATCTGTCAAAGAACAGAATTTTTTATAAAAGATATTTATGAGATTAGAAGATATGTTTATTAATTTCATCGGGGGCTATATCCCTGAGGCAAATTTTAATTTCATGAATTTAAATCAGAGGTGTTTTGTGGACGTAGATTAGAGTTACAGTGTCATGAATTTAGGAGATGCTAATGTAGTAATTGGACTTAATTGTTTCAAAAAAAAAAGAAAAAAACTGTGATAGAAATAAATTTACATCAAAAGCAGAAAATAAAAAAATTTTCCCATGTTTTATTTTAAATTTCATATCTGTTTTCCTGTCACTATTCAATTCTTGATGCTGAAAATCGAAGCTTATTTTAAATTTTACATATGTGAATAATTTAATCCGATTTTTGCTATAATAAATGTAACTTTTTTTAGACTCTACTTCCACATGTTGTTGGAGACCATTTACCTTGTGTTTTTCTGAAAGGGCAAAATCTGTCTTTTCATCTGAGGATGAGTAATCCCCAGCTGTGCCTTATTTCTAGCATATCTTTAGAAAGCTTAAAAAATGATGGAAATACACTAAAAAAGGGGTGTGAGGAAGAAATATGTGTACTTCTGTGATGTAATTTCAGAAAGGCTCTCCTGGGGCCAGGGAGATGCTGCTGCCCCAGCCCAGCCCAGGGCAGGTCCCTCTGCTGCTCCTGCTGAGCCTCCCGTGGGCTGAGCTCTGTGAGCCAGCACTGAGAGATGGGCACAGGAGATACATGGGAAAACCAGATCTAAAATATGAAGTAACTTAAATCTCTGGGTGCTTTTTAATAGAGGTGTCAAATTTCAAACTTGATTTTTTTAAGCTCACTTGAAATCAGCTTGTTTCTCTTCTTTGGACACATGAAAGAAATTTGTGAATCTACAGACTTTCACATATTTCATCTAAAAAACATTGCCTTAACGAGGTGCTGCAACATGATTATTTGGAAGACTAAATCTTTGATCTTTATGGTGGATTCTGTTATTTTAACTGTATATTAAAAATAGATAGTAAGCTTTTGCTTTCACCAATGTGTTAATGTCAATCTCTGTGATTTTAGCTCATATCTCCACTGTGAGTGGGCCACAGAACAACAGCTTTTAAAGGATAAAAGAATCCAGCAGAAAATAAAGCGGTTCAAAGTAAGGAAAGCACAAAGAGCTCACTTTTTTGCAGATGTGAGTATGAAATAAAAATTAAATAAGCTTTTTTTTTTTCCGTGTAAAATTGTGAGCAGTAGTTTGCTTTTATATAAAAGAGCTGATTGTTAGGAACCAAAGATGAACCATTGGTGTGGTTTGCACCAGGGAGTGGGTTATTTAATGTAATGTAAAGTGCAAGTCTTCTGGAGTCACTGAACTAACCTGACTTACATGGTCTAAAAGTGGGATTGGTTGAGTGACTACTTAGAAGTGGTAAGGAGGGAAGGATTGTGTCAGTATGGCTGGTTTCTCTAGGACTTCCACAGGACAGCACTTTATCCCAGAGATCTGGGGTCAAATCCCTCTTCAGTGAGAGTTGCCCAAGAAAACCAAGGGAGTGTGTGCAGGGGGCTGGTGTGGAATTTAAGGTCTGTGCAAAAACCCCAGTAATTTCCAGCTACCAAATTATTTTGTGTACAATCAGACCAAGTTTTAGCAAATACCAACTGTTTTTGCCTCTCTACTGATTTTATTCATCTTTCACTGCAGATGGAAGAGGAACCTTTTAATCCTGACTATGTTGAGGTAGACCGGGTATTGGAAGTGTCTCTTTGTGAAGACAAAGACACTGGTGAGGTAAGGGTGTCTTAAAGCAAGTCAGGATGCTCCAGGTTTGAAAATTGTAATTTTATCAGATCTCAGAGTAACACTTTAATGATTTTAAAGCTTCAGTAATAATTTAAATGAGACATGACAGTCTTGTCCTGGCCTGTGCTACCTGTGGATTTGAAAGACAAGTCAGCATTTAATAGCTTATATTTTTATTAGTATTAATAGGTCATAGTAGGCAAAGCTTAGCTATTGACTGACATAAATGTCAGGCTCAATAATTGTCTTGTGAGTTCCATCAAAAGGCTGATCCCATATACTGTCTTGTCTCTGATAGTGGAATAGGGTCACTGGTAATAAAAGCTTTAGGCAGCCAGTGATTTGAAGTGCATTGATGGCCACCAGTGAACCATTCCCTCTGTGTTTATCAAAACTCATTTTTTAAATTTAAAATACTTCTTCTGGAAAGCTATTACACAACAAAAACATTCTGAGATTAAAAAGAAAACAGAAAAGCAAGTCAAGCAATTAAATTACCAAAATTCAGAAAGTCTGAGAACAGTGGAGATCAAAGACTGAGAAGAAAGTTGTTGATTAAGGCTGTTGGAATATCTATAATGCTTATTCTGCTTGTGTGGATAGCAAAATGAGCAGACTTTTACCCAGTGATTTCTGCATTAATCTTCCTAAGAGTTGAGAGTTAGAATGACTTTCATTGTATGCAGCAGATTTGTCATTATTAAATTTTTAGAAAAAATGTGTTGTCATAAGACTTTCCCCTCAGCTTCTGGAAGGATGAATCTCTATTTGGTTTTTAAATATTTACATCTTGAATCTAAGTAAGATGATCTACTTTGGTTCCTTTTTTTTTCTGTATGTTTTTCATCAAGCCTGTAAAGCTTGATCAGAGTTTTTTTGGTCAGACCTCTGGTTTAGGAGCTCTAAAGCTCTGGTTTGGGCCTGGGCAGCCTGATTTGGAGAGCACAGGACATGTCCTGGCTGTAGCACTTCTGTAGTTAGTTCTGCCACCCTGCCCCATTTCCACAAATATCACAAATAAATTTATCTTTCCTGAGACTAAAGCAAGAATTGCTTGTGGGTAAGAGGGATTGAAAAGCACTCCAGAGGTCTGCAGAAAGTGGCAGAGTGTTGGGAGCCAAGGATAAGTAGGTAGATAACAGGAATCGAAATGGAACATTTAAAAAATTGTCAGAAAAATGATTTTGATTCCAGTTCTTGTGTAAGCAAGCTAATCTAATAGTAAGGCATATTAACAGTCTGTATACTAAATTAAAAACTGATAACATTCAGAATTTTCTTCTGCAGCCTGTTATTTACTATTTAGTAAAATGGTGTTCGTTGCCATATGAAGACAGTACGTGGGAGCTGAAAGAAGATGTAGATCAAGCAAAAATAGAAGAATTTGAACAATTGCAAGCTTCCAGGCCTGACTCAAGGAGATTGGTAAAATTATATCTAATTTACTTGTCTGTCTTAGTACATCTGACTTAGTTTTCCCAACTTTAAACTCCTGTGTTAAAACATAAGGCTTATTGACATTCTGTGTAAAGCATCTGTGTGCCTTGTTACCTAGGAGTAATAAAACATTCAGGTAGGCATATATAAATATTCTTATCTTAGTTGTTACTTTAAAAAAATAAAGATATTTACTTAGGAAAAAAACCTGAAGTGTGCTGTGACTTTCTGAGTTTCTAACTGAGCAGTGAGCCTTAGGTTGAAACTGGCTATCACAGAACTGAGCACCTTTAAAATGAGCAGAAAGCAGGATGACGTGTTAACACCCTTTTATAAAGAAGAGAATTTAATTTTGTTCTTCAGCACTGAAGGGAATTGGCAAATGAGATCTGTCAAACAGGTTCTGTAATTTTTCCCTGCTTTTATTTTTCTTCTTGTTGTTAAAGAGCTAGCTGAAAGGCAGAAAAATACATGTAATTAGGAAATGTGTTTTATCTTGAAATTATCAATCTTCTGTCTCTTAGAGCAGGAGAAAGCAAAATAGTTCTATTTCAAGTCCTGTATGTCATTGTCAGAGTAGGACATGTGTCCTGCGTGGTGTAGTACAACACTTGTTCTAACTTACTTCTTTTACATAACTAAATATGCACAGTGTTTTAATTTGGAGGCTTTGGAATTTATTTTAATGGTTTTTCCATCTACAGATAATGACAGTAGTCACGATTAACATCTTCATATTATATTGAGTTCATTTATGTAGTATTTATTTAAAATCCTGACATTTTGGCATGTGGGAAGAAGAGCTGTTATACCTCTGTTACCATATTTGGCTGTGAGAGAAAAAGATGATTAAAGCGCAACTGTACAACTGACAGTCATCTCAGCATCAGCAACAAGTATTTTTGCTTCAGGCTCCAGCAGCTACAAGGAATTATTTGCTGACTGCAGCCCTGCAAGAGGAGCAGGGCTGCTGCAGGAGTGGGGGAGTGGGCAGATGGCAGCTGGTGGGAGAGGGGAGGAAGGCACAGCTGCTGGGGAGGGACAGCTCCTGCTGCACCCAGACCTGCGCTCAGGTGATGCTGACGCTGGCAGTGCCGACAGAGAGCTCACATGGAAAATCCAGAGCTGCCACACAAGGCCACATGGTCTCGAGTGAATGCAAGCTTCTATAAATGCTGGGAAATGGGGAGAGAGAGGGGGGAAGTACAGCTGGTGAGAAAAGCTCCTACTAAAATTACTTCACTTGAATGTGTGAGTTTGTTCACGTTGGGATGCAGGAGCTGTCACAAGAGTTTTCTGCTGGAATCCTACCTAGTATCAGTCAAAAACTGCATGATTCCACCTGCTAAGCTAGGCCAGGCTGTTCTGGCTCCAGGCTTGGGAACTTGTTTGTTTGTGTATATACATAAATATTTTATACACAGTCTCTCAGCTTTCCTTAGCTTGTGAGGGCCCTGCAGGTGATATACCTTGATACTCTCAGTCTGTTTTGTCATGGCCTTTGTCTTGTGACCCCGCCTATGCTGATGCTGTTCTGATCAGGTCCCTTGGGGAAATCTATTCAGGACACTAAAGCTCTCACAAGTTCACTTTTTTGTACTGCTGGCCCTCACTTCATGCATTGGCAGTGGGCCAGAGTGATCAGCAGGGCAGGGCAAGTGCAGAAAGGAGAGGGGAAGAACTCAGTAACTGTGGAGATCCCCAGACTGCTTCAACATCAGCTTCCAGAGCTGTCTTAGACATCAGGGATGGTGTTAATCCCAATACTCACTTAGCTCTCTTGTAAGTCAGCTGCCTGTTCTTACAGCTGCCAGAGTGAAACTTCATGTAGTCTGGAAATTTCATGTATAAATGAATTTGTGTGCCCTATTATTCCAGCCAAACTATTTGTATTCTATTTTTTAGAAATCAGTTGCTTAATTTAATTTAATTATCATATAGACTTAAATTAACTTCAAAAATAGCAATTCACAGAGAAAAATGAAAATTTCAGATTTTTGCAGACTGTTAATTAGTAAGTGATGTTAACAATGACACTTCACTTTTAAGGTTGAATAACAACATTCTAAATATAAGGTGATACACCCCCAAAATAGAGGGGTCAGATATTTGGGAAAAAATCAAGCAAGTATCAATCTGTACCTATATTTGTCTTTCCCTTTAAGGACCGACCACCTCCAAACTCCTGGAAGAAGATAGAACAGTCCAGGGAATATAAAAATGGCAATCAGCTCAGGGAATATCAACTGGAAGGACTTAACTGGCTCCTATTCAACTGGTACAATAGGTATATGCATGGAATATTTTTTTGTAGATTTTAAACTATATAGAGTGAATCACTTTTACTGGGGATGAATACTGTTTTAACTAAATTTTTTGTAGCTTCTCTGCTTATAGCTAAAATAATATAACTGGAACAAATTTCTCAACCTTTGGGTGTGTAAGGATGTTTTATCCACACAAATTAACAAAACTGTTAAAATAATGCAGCTAACTTAACTAAAAATAAATTTTCAATGGCTATGAGGAAATTAAAGCAAAAAGAACCAAAGTGCAAGCTTTCACAATTTTTGAAATTTTTTGCATCTTTCAAAATGATTGCTAGAAATAGTGTAATAAAGTTATATCTCTTCAAAAGTAAGGCTAGTAAGTAATTGCATTATCTGTACTTTAGGCTGAAATTAACTTCTGTGCATTAATGCTATGTGTTATGACCAGAAGCATGATCACTTGAAGATCTTTCCCAGAATGATGTATTTTCTCTGTTTCTAAGTTCACTTTCTGTTAAAGTATCTTCTGCTTGCTGTATTTCCAAAGTGCCACTTGCATATCCCGTATAGAGATGCATGTTACTGGTCGGCAGAAGGAAATCTGGTTTTAATTCTCATTCAGGCGGTGCAGAGCTGTGTGACATCTGCAAACAGAGGGAAGGGCTGGAATGTGTGGCTGAGGGCAAGCATGGAGTGGTGCTTCATGCAGTAATTTAGTTTTAGGCATCTGTCTAGTTCTGGAATCAAAAAGGGAAATTTGCTAATGATGCTCTGATGCGCTCCTTTCATGTGAGTGTAGCTGGGATACTTCCTGTGTGTGATTTCTAGGGATTCTTCATTAATTTCTAGCAGTTTTGTCAAGGTGAATGTGCATGGAGGAAACCTGCCTAATTTAAATTCCTTTAATTAGGGCAAAGGTAGTCCCAAAAGAATACTACTTGAATATTTTTGTAGAACTTCACGGAACATTCTGTTCTCAGGTTTTGACAGTGCTAAACCTGATGCAAAGCTTTACACAAAGGTTTTGTGCACATTCTTTCACTCTAACCAGGGAATGCTTTCAAGGATCTTTTTGTAGTGCCTCAGTTTTGACTGTTGTTTTAGACTGATATATTTGAGCTTTGTTTCTGTAAATTGATCATTTTACTAACAGCATTGGGGTCTGTACTTTACTTGATGATAGTAACGAATAATTTTTTTTTGCTTTCAGGCGAAATTGCATTTTAGCAGATGAAATGGGCCTTGGCAAAACCATTCAGTCCATTACATTCCTGTATGAAATCCTCCTGACGGGTATAAGAGGCCCTTTCCTGATCATAGCTCCGCTCTCCACCATCACAAACTGGGAGCGGGAGTTCCGCACGTGGACGGGCCTGAACGTGGTGGTGTACCACGGCAGCATGGTCAGCAGGCAGATGATCCAGCAGTACGAGATGTACTTCAGGGACTCCCAGGTAACTCACCCTAAACATGGCTCAGCTGGCAGCAGTGACAAGGATACTTGACATTATCTGTCTTTTTATCTTGGTGAGAGTCACTTCACGTTCCAGGATGTTGCATTTGAGCATCTTCAGCAAGTGCTTACTGGGTGAATTCAGTGGCAGTGTTAGCAGCAAGATGTGTGTGTTGTTTCACTGTGCTGAGTAATTTTGCAATTGAATGGCAGTGACGCTGGTGCTCTTGTGGAGATTAAAGTGTACACAGATGGTTGCAGTTGGGTCCTGAATTTGAAGAGTAGGGAGAAAAAACATAATACTGATTAAGCTCTGCTACCTTTATGAAGCTGTTCATTTCCTTTTGCTGGTGTTAACTGTGTACAGTCTGAACTTGCTTTTCTGAAATACACACCATTAAATAACATGAGAAAAACTTGAAACCTGACTATTTTAAAAGGATTTTTTTCCCTTTTTTTATATATTGTGCATAAATAATTCTTTTTAATTGTCATGGTATTTCCACAGAATTTATAAAGCTGAGAACTTCTTATTAATAAGTGCTAAATATCAAAATGACATCTTGTTTGCCTAATGAGTTATTCTGTGCTGCCTTGCTGAAGGCCTTACATGTTCTCCTTGTCAGACCAATGGAGTAAAAAGTTTTCATTTGGTTCCCATGTGATATTGTGATTACTTACTGTATGACTGCCAACTGTAATAACATCATATTGTGACTGATCGATGGTAGAATTTTTCCTGTCACTCTTTCAGATTTTCTCAGCATTAAAAATGGGATTTTATCTACATGTAACTTCTGAAACAGTTCTGTTAGATGGTTATATCTGTAATTTAAAAGGGATTAATTTTTTTCTGTTGCTTAGATAGTACTGGATTTGGGTCCGTGAATAATTACTCATCAGTATTAGTTAGGGAGTTACAAAGATTATTAAGTGTGATGACAAAGCAATTTATAATGTAAAATCCAGTGTCTGGCTCCTGGCAAGATTTCAGCAAGGAAATGTGTACATTGAGCAGATGGGAGGGAATGTAACAAATTGTTTGTGTTGGTGAATTTCTAGGGCCGTATTGTCCGAGGTACCTACAGGTTCCAGGCCATTATCACAACGTTTGAGATGATCCTTGGTGGCTGTCCTGAGTTAAATGCAATTGAGTGGCGCTGTGTTATTATTGATGAAGCTCACAGACTGAAGAACAAAAACTGCAAACTTTTGGAAGGACTAAAATTAATGAACCTTGTGAGTAACTATAGTTCACTTTTTGGGGCTGATTTTAGTTCAGTATAGTATGATAATAAATTAAAAATTTGCGTTGCATGTCAAAAAAGACCTCTCCAGCAGTGTTTCTTGAGGAATAGCTATTCCTGATACTCTTCAAACATATGTGGTTTTGATAACTTATGCTGGTATATTTGTGATTAAACAAAATGTGGCGAGTTCTCACTGTTAGCACAATCTATTTCCGACGATACTGTTGTACAGTTTTTGTTTTGATTAGGATGAAAATATCATTTAAAACTTGCTTTAGTTTTTGTGCAATGTGTTAAAATTTAGAAAATATTTTAAGCAAGTTATTTAACAACAAAAGCATGCAAGTGGTAGAATTTTAAATAGACATATTGTCTAGTCGAGTACTTAAAATTTTATTTTGTACTTCTAAAGATTTTTAAAAGTAGATACTAGCATGTATCAGATGCACTATGACTAGTTTTGCATTTTTTTATTGCTTCATTATTACTTTCCAGTGTATTCTCAGACGTCCTCTGAGTTGCTTTCTGATGCATGCTCGGTGTATATTTTTCACACTGCAGAGAGGGAGGATTATAAATTTGTGAATATTACAGGCAAAGTTGAAGTGTTCACTCATTCCTTCATTACAGATGTAGGAAGAGAAAATTTAAAGGAAAGCTACTAGAAAATACTTATTGGTGTTTTTTTAATAAACCTGCTTCTTTGTATTACCTGTGTGCTTAGTGACACATACAACTGGTGTTCTCAGGTTTTGATGCTCAGACTCAACACAAACGTTTTTGCAGATGTGTGCAGATGAGGTTATGCAAGGTCTTTTTGTCCTTTTCTAGGAGCATAAAGTGCTGTTAACAGGTACCCCACTGCAGAACACAGTGGAAGAATTATTCAGCCTCCTTCATTTTCTGGAACCATTGCGATTTCCTGCTGAGTCCACATTCATGCAGGAGTTTGGAGACCTTAAAACAGAGGAACAGGTATGAGTTCATCTGAGCTTTAGAGTTCAGGAGGAATTGCCTTTTCACTGAGCTACAGTATTACCTTTTTTCATGTTCCAACAAATGGTTCTGCTTCCTTCAGGTTCAGAAACTACAAGCTATCCTGAAACCCATGATGCTCAGGAGATTAAAAGAAGATGTAGAAAAAAAACTGGCTCCTAAGGAGGAAACCATAATAGAAGTAGAGCTAACTAATATTCAGAAGAAATATTACCGAGCAATTTTGGAGAAAAATTTTGCCTTCTTATCCAAAGGAGCAGGGCAGGCGAATGTACCCAACCTGGTTAACACTATGATGGAACTCAGAAAGTGCTGTAATCACCCTTATCTCATCAAAGGTAAATATAGCATAAGGACTAGGGGTTTTTTAACTTATTTTAAAATTTTATTTAAAATACGTAAGAATTTTGTAATAATTCTTCAGTGTTTTCTTCAGATTTTCGAAGGATTGGATTAGGTGGAAACATTTTTTTGATAGATACAAGACAAAGTTGTGAGAGATTTGCATATTTGATGCCTGAAGCTTGAACTTTTGTAGGTTTTCACAGAACATTTAGAAGCAATTATCTCATGGAAATAGTACAGCTCTTTAAAAGCAGTATGAGCAAGAACTTTTAGGTCTAAGTTTTAAAATGAATGGTTCTTTCAAGTGATAGGATCTCTGTCAGTCTTCACTGCTTTTCTCACTTATAAATAACTGGTGTTTTTCCTGATTTGCAAGACAATACTGTTTACACTCCAAAAGTTTTGGCTGTGGTTTCAGAAGTAGTATTCAAAACACTGGTTTTTTGCAAAGACTCATGACCCTTTTAAAATCTCACAAAGACAAAACAACATTTTTCTTAGTAGTTTTTTTACAGTACTCAAGAATTAAGTATTTCCGTTTTTGAAACTTGGAGGATGGGGGTTCACCTCATTCAAGGCGTTTTTTCCGTGGTATTCTGCTTAAAAACTTAAGACTTGTTGTCAAAGCTGCTAAAAATAGATATTCTTGTTTAGACTTCAGATCCATCCAGAACTCTGTTCTGTCTCCATCAGTACCTAAAAGGAGATATTTAGGGTACAGCACTGACTTTGGTAACTTAGATTTGAATGAATGTAGAGATATTTGTGTAGATACATCCATAGATGTGGACATATATTCTTTGATAGGTGCTGAAGAGAAGATCCTTGGAGAGTTTAAGGAAACATACAGTCCAAGTGCTCCTGACTTCCACCTGCAAGCAATGATCCAATCTGCTGGTAAATTGGTTCTTATTGATAAGCTTCTTCCAAAAATGAAAGCAGGAGGCCACAAGGTTCTGATCTTCTCTCAAATGGTGCGCTGCCTTGATATTTTGGAGGATTACCTTATCCATAAAAGGTAAGATTCATCTTTTCTATCCCGTGGTATTTTGCTCTGTGGGAATGATAGTGCTGGATTGACAGCAGCCCACCGAAGCTGGAGTTCTGTTTTCTTTGCTAAGCAGTTTGTAACTTTGTGTTCTGGGATCATTTGTTCACAACTAATTGAAAACTTCAGAGAAAAACTAGAGAGAGATTGCCCAATTTAAGTAAACCATGTGCTTTCAGTCTGTTACTTTTTCCATTAAGCATTCAGTTATTTATATACTGTTTTTATATCTTCTGTCAGAAACCAGGCAAGTTTAAGCTTGTCATTGCTTGTCCAAACCCCTGGAAGGCCTGAATGTGTTCTTTACTTACATGGTGTTGATCTGGGACCACAGGGGTCCAAGGTACAGCCTCTTACTTCCAAAGGAATGTAAGCACAAAGTAATAAACAACTGGGGATGTGGTTTTTATTAATGTAAAAGTGAAAATGGTCTTCCTATCTTTGCTAAATTGACTGCTTTGAGTTTTGCAGCAGAACTGAACTGCCAGCCATAAACCTGCTCCTTAGGCTGGCTTTTGCCATCACATGTAATTGCACCCTCTGATTGTTACAGACTGTTGACTCCATGGAAACTAAATGCTTTTTTGAGCATGTGACTAAATAAATGCATAAAGCCTTAAACTTGGTTGCAATTAGTAGTTGCTGTATCAACCTGAAAATCTTGAACAAGGCATAGTTCTTGTTGTTTTACCAGTGTTGCAATGTACATATTGCTTTGAAATATGTAATTGTCAGTGAATTACATCATAGTAATGCGGAGTTAACATGTTGGAAAACAAAACTTATTAATGTTAAGCCTTCCTGCAGTGGATACTGGAACACTGGATATTAGGTTATTTTAATATCTGCTTTAGTGATAGTTTTATATTAAACCTGTCTGTTTGAACTGGGAGTGCAACAGTGTCTGTTTTATTTTAAAAGATTAATTTTAACTTCATAGTGATACTTACAATTCTTCATGGAAAATGTTCCCTTTCTGCAACAATGTTACATTTAGACCAATGAATCATATCTATAGGTGGAATCTTTTGAAGCCCATAGAAGCTGAAATTTGCTGTGTGCTGCCATTTGATTAGAAATGTTGGAGTGCACACATGATCAGACTTAGCACTTAACAGAATTCAGGCCTGTAGGAGATAGATGGCTGCCTGCCAGAATGCCTGTGGTCCTGTGGATTATCTGCTGGGCCATTTTATAGCTGATGAGAAGAAAAATGATTGTGAGGCCTTTTAACTACTAGGTGCACATTCAGCTTCTTACTCAGTGTACAAGTACAGAAGTATTTGCTCCCTTTTTAAGCATTTTGCTTCATTTCAGAAGTTTCAAAGCAGTCTTTGTAATTGTCAAAGGTGACAAATGGCAGTTTTACTTCAGGCTTGGTTTATCTGGGAGGCCTTGATAAAGACTGTTGAAGGTGGTGTCATGTCGTTTTTGTTCCATTTCTCTTAATCTTTACAGAATCAATATGCAGTTTGTCCATTGACAGCTCACCAAGTTCTGGTTTCTGCTGATTGCTTGGTTACGCTTACCGTGTTCAGGCAATCTGGTATATCCTACAAGAGCCCACTGTCCTGCTAATGTGACCCTAGGCAGGGATCCCTAGGCAAGGATAATATGTGAAAAACTTGAGTGTCCACATAGGACTTCAGGTTAGGGTGTGTTTTAATAAGTAAGTAACACAGGCATAATCAGGTAGTTGCTTAGTGGACAAAATGCAGAACAACTTGTCTTAAAATGCTCAGTGTTTGGACTTGCTGATGTGCCTTGGTGCTCCAGCTCTGGAAGTTCTGACAAGATTCTTGGTTATGTTACCCACTGCTAATCAGAGTCAGTGTTTATCACTTGGATTCACTGCACAGAGTAAATCTGTGAGCAGCAGACTGTCGGATCTCAAGATCTCAGTCCTGAGATGCTGAGCCTCCGGGAGTCCTGGAATGTTGCCAGAAGTGTCTGGTAGCTGGACTTTAACCCTACACAGGAGACGACAAGGATGAGGGCTTCACAGGGTGAATGGTGAAAAGATTAGCTAATTAGAGGGT